ACAGTAGACTTAGTGAGCTAGCTAATTATGATGAAAAAGTCCTCTGATTTTCAGAGATTAACTTTGTCTATTTTTTTGTATAAAAAAGGATGTAATAAATTTGTTTAGTGTAAGTGGTTGTGATTGTTATCATTGTTCGAAGAGACCCGGGTTCAAATCTTGATATTTCTATTTTTATATGAAATAAATAATAAATGTGTAAAGACAAAAATGACCTTCCTACTTTCACTCTCGTTGCAGAAAATTTGAAATGGAGAAAAGTACACAAAACTCTACCATATATTAATGGAGGATCCATGTTCAATGGGAAGGAGAAATGTTTAGTTCAGAGAAAACTGAAATTCACAATTTGATCAATTACATACCCTCATTTCACCCAAAGCGGAAATGTCGACCCCAAATGTCTGAGTGAACTCGAGACCAGACCGTCCAAAACTTCAGAAAGAGAAGGAGTAAAAACTGAATCTCGGGAGCCCACTTATAAGAAAGGGCCGAGAATGGAAGAGGCCAAGGCGGTCGGAGGAGGGGCTCTGATGCGAACGAACGCGTCTGCCTGGCCAGAAGCAAATCTCTCCGTATGAGCTAAGAACGGAGGCGAAGCCGCGACGGTTGCCAATGGTGCGAGGCGGAGGTGGTGGAGCACCGAAAACTGGAAAATTAGGGTTTGTGTGGCTAGGTTGAACATCAGGGTAAAGACAGATCAAAAGAAGCTTGTGAGTGCGTCGAAAGGGCATATGAGGAAGGGAAAGGCAGGGGCGGCGGTGAGGAAGGCGGGGTGGCCAAAAGAGGGTGGTTTGGGGAAGAATGGATGAAAGCGAAGCGGCCAGGACCAGGAGAGGGTGGTCAGGGGAAGAAAGGAAGAAAGGGTGGCTTTTCTTCTTTGGAACGAAGAGAATTTGGGTTTGGCTAAAAAGGTAATGCTACTTTTAGTTTTTCTTTGTAGCCAAATTGAAGAGCGCCAAAACTTTTGGACTTTGGAGCCAAATATTTCAGTAGCCAAATTTCAGAATTGGGGAGGGAATGAAAAAATGCGAGAGAGCCAAATTGTTTTTCTTGTATCAGTACAAATTTTTGGATTTGCAAAAGGAGTCCGATTTTACAAAAATTCTTGAAAAAATTACCCAAAATCTGAGAACTTTTTGGAGTCTGTGAAGAAGAAAAATTGCATTGATTCTAAATTTTTATTTTTTAAAATAAGGAGAGATTCAAAATCCATAACTAGTAAATACTCCTTTTAATACATGTATATATGCTTGTACATATGTTGCCGAATTAAAATTTTTGTATTATAATTATTGTCAAGCTATTTCATTTTTCCCCGTTCATTTGATGGTTGCCGTACTAAATGCGTATAAAATCGTATAACACGTTTAATAGGCATATTTTATGAATTAAATTGATAAATCAACTATTATTTATATATTGATTTTTTTGAATAATTAATTCAATATATTTTATAACTATTGATGTACTATTAAACGTACCATTAGTTTAGAGACAAAGAGAAATACTCGTACATATTTTATACGTAACTTACCTGTCTCGTATTTTACTAACTATGTCGAAATCTATTGCTTTGTGTTTCAAATTTTTTTCCTTAATCCTGCTCGAATTCCACCTAAATTTATAAAGGTAATTGTCATATTGTTCACTGTAATTTACCGTGACTAACAATTAATCACGGTAAATATATACTAAAAAAACAGACAAATTGGTTCCTGTGATTAGAAGTATATAATTAAATACGGAAATATTTCCCATGACTATTAGCATACTTCTGAGTACGGGAAAAATTCCCGTGAATAAGATCCCGTGACTGAAAACCAGATTTTCTGTAGTGTTCAAGCAAAGTTTTCGTAATTCTTTCCCCAAAGGAGAATCTCTTCAACACAAGGAGCAAGGCTAGCATCTCCATGATGGTCTCCCTTCTTCTCCCTTGTGTTTTTCCTTCTCCTAGCATGGAGTATTCCCTTATTTCACTTGGGTGTTTGTAAACCCGAACTACAATTATGTCAATATTTGTATCGGTTGAATGATTTGAGGCATGGATGTGTTTTAATATGAATTTGGAGGTATTTTTATGGAAGATTGTGTTGTGTGTTTGCCTATCAATCTATTTGCCATTCTAACCTAGGTAGAGAGAACACTCCCTTTCTTTGAAAGAGGCTTGCAAAGCTGGATTTTCTTAGGCAAATCTTGTCTCCTATCTAGGTTAATGTAGGGCAACCCTCTTTGTTCGTATTAGCACCTAGGGTTGGTTGTAATTTAGCCGCTCGAGCTCCGATTCGAGGGTGAAGTCGTGGCAACCCTGAGTCAATAGGTCAAGAGAGCTACTTTGGCGGCTTGAATCGAATTCCCTTGACCTATTGACCAAGAGAGTGGCATTTGTTCACTTGTTGCACTTCCCTATGATTTACAACCTCCTTACCACATGTGACCATTCGATCCGACAAGTCATAATTGTTAGCTAGGGGGAGCAACACCTGGGTGAAGCCTTCTCAATTAGTGTCAAATCCATTTACTTTTCCAAACATTTTAGCTATAGATTGTTGTTTTCACCAAAATCCAATCGCTAGATAATGTTTCAAACAATCGAAGTAGGGGTACATGGACCGGCCTAAGTTTATATTTAAATATACTTGCCCTATATTGCACCCAATTAAGATTTATACTGGCCACTAATTGGGAGTTTTATTGTTATATTCGGGACGAGTCAGGATGTTTAGATTTTTTGGTCTGGTATTGATAGATCGTGGTTTTGTCAGATCAGACCGCGGGCTCAACTCACTTCCCAAAATAAATGAAAATTATGTAGCTAAAACAAATGAAAAAATCTATAAGACGGCTGGCTTTAGCTTCTAAAACATTTGGAAAACAGTGTTCCGATGAACTCAACCCACGCCCACTCTCTAACGAAACCTAACTCCCAACCCTAATTTTGAAAATCTACTCCCTACTTCATTTTCAAATCGCACTCTACCAAAGGGCAATGATTGTAAAATCGTACCAGAGGTTTTATCGAGAAAGTTAGTGGTAGGGTATTTTGAATTAAAATCGTTGATTAACTGTTTCCTACAACTAAAACCGCTAGCCTATTTGGGTCCGGTACCAGGTGTTTCCGGTCCGACTAACTGGTATGGTAGGGTTTTTAAAATTTTGCTAGAGAGTAGAGATAATTGCCTCTTCATACGACATTATGTTAATGTTTATGACATTATGATGGAATTTGGGTAGCTCTGACTTTGGATCTTTATGAGTATGGCCCCTGATTTGAGTATGGTCCCTGATTTGTGCTACAACCCCTCAATTTGAATGGTAGACCGTATGTATGATATGTTCTGATTGAGACCGCATAATTTCCTAACCCTACATCAGGAAGGAGATGGAGTTATGATTTGTAGAAAATGTTGCCTCTCAAGTTTTGCATAATGTAGTTATGTGGAGAATGATCGTTGAATATGTCTATTCTGCTGGTGTTTAGGTACAGTTTGGCTTAGGAGCATGGTGATTTGGTTAAAGTACAGTACCGATCGGTCGTTTAGGGAAATCGTGGTCAAAGCAATACTCCCTGTTGCCAAAGAAAAGGAAGACAACAAATGAACCTGCAAAACCAAGTGAAGTGTTCATCCAGTATCCTTGTCCTTCCTCTCTTCTCGTGGCTTTTTCACCTTCAGTTCCATTCTCACCGTTGTGCAGATAATCGATATTATTTATTATTTTGGGGGCAGTTGAGTTTTGGAATGGAAGATCCTTAAACCTTGATACACAGAGCACGATTCTGCAAGGCGCCCAGATTACCAGTAAGCGCAACGAGAAGCTATTGAGAGATGCACCATCATTGCCCAAGGATATGGATTACCCACCCAATGTAGGGCTTAACTATAAAGTACCTATCACCTGTGAATACAAACTTTGCCGACTCTGCTCACTGTATCCTGGGAAAAGAAAAACCGCTCATCATCTTTATTTTTGAGGAAGTTACACATATCAAGAAGCCTGTTTGGGCTCATACTCACGCCCAACATAGGTAGAAACACATATCAAGAAGCGTGCATTTTCGGGATTGACATCAACAAAACATGTTAAAAGGACAATTATGTAACCAAAACAAATGAAAATTCTGCAAATGGATGGCTTCAGCTTCAAAACATTTGGGAAATGGTGCACCGATGGGGCAAAGCATTCTATGTGATGACAGTGGGCGCAGATCGGCCAGTGTATTCTTCCATCTTGGAGAGTTTCAACGCTACCTCCACCTGTGTGAGAAAAAAGGCCATGAGCGTGCCTGAAGTTGATAAAATAGTACATCATTAAATGGCTTTAGCTTTAGGTTCAAATTTTACCAGAGGAGAAAGTGCTTCTTGAGAATCTCTACCAATCTTTGATGGATCCTTTTCATACATTTCAATGTAGAGACGGATGGTTGCACCCACAGATCCCGTTCCTGAGAGGCGGAAAACCTACATATGCATACCACACATTTCAGGAAAAACATCTGCGAGAATGCGACATGGAGCAGAGGGACCCTAAAAGTTGTTGAATCTCATCGGGTAACCATGTTAAAAGGATGTGGAGCTTACCAGTCGAGAGCCATCCGCGAACAGATATCGAACACCCTGGTGTGCAGAGATGGAACCATCGACAGGATCTTTGTATTCAAATTCATCAGCATGGGCAACCTCGGAGACATCTGGCCGTATCTCCTTCACCATCATGTATCAATAATTAATAGTTCAGGTATTGCATTGTACCAGAGCAGCATGGTAAATTACAAGTAAATTTCAATCGACAAGCACATGCCTTTGAGGTAAATATACAAGTCTATCTTATCACATGGAGATGGGGATGGTAGGGTTAGGGTCGCTTCAGATTATTATAAACAGGTGGGATAGTAAAGAGAGTCGGGTTCCATTTAACTTCAAATGCAAAAGAAGCACCCGGAGAAGAGACAGAACTTTTATCAAACAGTAATAGTTAAAAGTAACCTGAAGGGTTTCAAGTCATAGGACATACTCATTAACTACAGTAACATTTGATTGGAGGTTGACCAAGTTAGCCATCAGTTCTTTAGCTGCACCTGCATCAACATTCTTCAGACGACCAGAAAATTAGATGTCAATTAAAGATCTATCATTCTATATAAACTACAATATCACATACTAAAGAATGTCCTATTCAAGGAAACATCATAGTACCTCATAATCATAACGAGTATAATAGTGACGACCATAAGTAGCCCAATGCTTGCGGACTATATCTTCTACAGTCACAAGCTTTCCACCACTGAGATTGTCCTTATTTTTTAAGCCAATATGGATAACCAAGCCAGGACAGCCCAAATTCCATCTTTCTCACGAATATGATCAGAGCCTGATCAGGCATAAAACGTAGTCATAAGACAACTTCCAACTTTTTAAACAGCGTATCTCAGGTAGCATTCAATTAACAGGGAATACACACGAACCAGTTCCGAAACTTTCTTCACCACAAACAGAACATAAACCAGCATCCATCAAGTTACCAAAGAACTTCCAGCCTGTTGGGACCTGGGATAGAATAGGCAAAGCTATCAATACATTACATCAGGCACGGCCTGTACTCCATTCCGAGGAAGTTTGTCATATAATACCTCAAAAAATTTCAAGTTCAGACTTTTCGCCACAACATCAAGGGCAGCTGACGTTGGCATGCTCCTGAAATTGAAAAAAAAAGAAACATTAGATAGAGAGCTTAGAAAAGATACGGAATTCCAACCTTTATTCGGACTTTTTGCCCAACAAACCAGCTAAGAATACTCTTGTGAATACTGATCTACGATCTGGAATAGTCCAAGTGACTTGCTTGGCAAATTTCCGTACTTGCATGACAGAATCCCAAATGTTGTTACTTAATTTGCTAAGGTAAGAGCCTGGAGCAACATAGAAATAGGTAGCCAACGAAGTACGGTATCTCACCTGGCAACTCCCTTCAGCCTAGAAGAGAAGTAGGGGATGGATTCAACTGCATTTGCAGCAATTATAGCCACAGAATCTGACGGGGTAACAAAGAACCTAGAAGATGCATATTGTCAGTCAGATATTTAAAATGCAGCATATTCATAACATTATTAGAAAATGGTACCTTTTACCAAGGATCATGTTGCGATCTGCATCACCATCTGCAGCAGCCCCAAATTCTGGTGGGTCAACATCAGTGTTGGATTTTCCGAGGCCCATCCTTGCAACTAACTCCTTCGCATATGTGAGATTGGGATCTGGATGCCCTCCTCCAAAGTCTTCCTGAAATTAAACAAGCAGAATGGCTGTAGGTATAATTCTTGGGATACAAGAACAAGCGTTCTACCCACTTACCACGACCTACCTTAGGAACACAGTTCAACAATGCAGACTCTTGTGCACAAAGCTCCTCGACAAAAATGCGATGTGCATAAGCACCAGCAACTCCATGTAGTGCATCATAGCTTCAACATGATAATCAACGCTACTCATTAAGGAATTATTAAAAAAATTATGTGAAAATGTTGATGAAAGGACGTCGGCAACATACCAAAAACTGAAGTTTGGACTTGCTATCAGCTTCTTGATTGACTGAAAGTCAAAAATAGTCCTGGTACAATTGGAGTATAGTCAAACATCTTGAAGAACAGTTAATCAGCAGTTAGACTGTACTTCACAAATGACTAATTCCGTTCTTGAAATTGTATGAAGGGAATCAAGCAATACCTGCTTCTTTAATAGGTACTCCAGACAGACTCATAGATAGAAATATACCAAATGACGTAGTGTTTACAATCATTTCAAAAATCATACAAGAATATCTTGATGGACGAATGAAAGCCTATAAATATTTTGGTCAAGAATTGTGTATGCCAATAACTTGACAAGTAAATGCAAGCAAACAGAATTTTTAATAGTAACTTAAAGCACATTTTTGTCAGATAAAAAAGAGCAATATCTAGGAGCCTGACTTTAAAGAGAAAACGGAGGAAACTTCTCAATATTACCATGAACCAGATTCTAAAGTCTTTTTTCCCTTTTCCTTTCTCTTCCGTTTCATATTTGTTAATCTTGCTTCAACAAAATGGTGAGCTGCCACCTTGTTACTTCACCATCAGGACGCTGTAACCGTCTTCATTTAATGTTACTTATTCAGGACTGCCACCAAGCAAAATCTGCTACAGTATGTCTTCAATCTAAGGCCAAAATGCATGTCTACTGATGTCTAAGAACATATGGGATAAGAGTACATTTCGGGGGATGAGTTGTCATTTATGAGAAGAACTGCTTACTTCATCAATTTTACATAATCACTTGCGGAGTCAAAAACTTCCACATCAAATTTTCCTTCAGGGCCTGAAAAGCTAGTAACACCAATTGAAGAAATATCTACCTGAATGCAAGGAAGAAATCCTCAGTATGTAAGAATAACATGGCATTCAAGTATACAATTTTATATGTGTAAAGAGGTCTAAAAATGCAGCGGAAAAAAGGAATTACATCTGGAACATCAGATGTTAAATACTCCTTTATTGTTTTAGTGTTCTCATAAATCTTATCCGTGATTCCTTCTGGAGCTGGACCACCATTTTCCATGTTATATTTGATCCCAAAATCCTGAAGAAGAGGAGTTAGTAACAAAACTACGAGTATGATCATACAGGCCAGTGAAAGTTGAAAAAACGACATGCAAACAAAATAAGGCTACCTAGTTGATTGAGATTGAATAACATGACATCTAAAAAATTAAAGTGGAATCTATTTGTCTCATTTCAGGGGTTTAAGTGTATCCTCTTCCTTTAATTGAAATGCTCTAATATACCTATACTGGCTATACACATTTGCCACATCATTGTAAAATGTGAATTTTTGAGGAAAAAGGAACACAAAAGAATCTTAAGATGGTTACCTCATCAGGGCCTCCTGGATTGTGACTTGCTGTTAATATAAACGCGCCTGTTTCCTTGGATCCCTGACATTTAAGATCATAAGAAGGGAACACGATAGTTAGGAACAAAAGTTCCAATCATGAAAATGGAAGGAAAAGAATCAGTAACTTACATCTGCTCCAACTCTTTCACGAATCACAGCAGAGACAGCAGGAGTTGAAAGCAACGAATTCTGACCAACCCAAACACGCCTCACCCCATTGGCAGCTGCCATTTTGACAATTATCTGTACAGGAAACAAACAAAAGTTTCAGAAAATCATGAATCAGCGTTGACCACAATATACACCAGTTTCAACCTTCCAACATTACAATGAGCCGTATATTGATGGAATTATTCCCCACTTGATTCAACTTAAAAGCAACATAAGAGAAAACTAAGCTGCCAATAGCTAGATTATATCGTAAGAAAGTTGTCTAATCACAGTAGGCATAAATATACAATGATTTTTGTATCCTCAACCCATCTAGCTCACATATAGTGCCACTAAGTTCTCCAGAATGTAATGGGAAAACACAACTTCATTTCATATAAGTAGTTCAATGATCTAGCCTGCATTTGAGGAAAGAATAATATTTGATCTCCGGAGACAACTTTGCATATAGTGCACCAACTAGAGGCCTTCTTCGTTGGCTCAGCACAATAATTCTGGCCATTGAAGAAAAATATTAAGGGGACAATTTTCCATACTGCGCATCACTTGCTCATCGTAAATCCTGCAACTCTTATCATTTACACAGTAGCCTAATAGGTGAGAAAACGAAAGTTGATTGATAATCAAATAACCCCAAGGACCACAGAAAATATTTAGCGTGTTCAGATGTATGTTATTTATAGTACCTGAACGGCATCTTTAGAATAATAACGGCCATCTCCAGAAACAACAAGTGTGGCACCTGGTTATCAAAAGCACATACCCAAGAGACAAAAGGGTTATTCAAATCACCATCATACGGCAAGCTTCTTAGCATAGGGTAAGAAAACTAGGTTTCAAAAAATGAAGGCAATCCTCAATAACTCAAAAGCTGAGTGTGAAGAATCCCTTCGACAACAACATAAAATGTAATGTCTATACTAGTCAATCGAGTAAAATAGCATCATTCCTCTGAAACTCATAAAAAGAAAATAATTCCTCTGCAAACCATCATTCTTAGCAAGCTGTAGACCCCAAACCATCATAAACGTTGATAGAACTAAAAACCCAAAAGCAGTTTGTTCTACATAGACCAGAGGATGAGCCACATTTTATAAACATGCAAGGATCTGAACTAATCCCCTGACATAGGAGCACATGAAGAGGACAGTGAAATGCGGTCAAGTTCCAGGAGTTATCATGCGTAGACCAGAGGATGTCCATTATCTTTGACGTAGAACGAGTCAATTACATGAATAGAACATAGGCATCAAAGATACGAGAACTGGCAGACTTGTCAATGCAAATTGTCATAGCAGCTTAATGAAAAACAACCAAGAAAAATACTACCTCTCACTTTTTCTGCTGTGAGGGCATTGAATGTTGATTGAACGAAATTCTCCAAGTAATGTGGTTGCATGAAAACTTTCACCTGGCAACAATAAGAAGACTATGTCAGCACTTAGCGAATTACAATGTATATGGCATATCTGCAATGATCCTCGGGTATCTGATGCGAAACTACATTAAACATCTGTACGGAATTGGTAAGCTACAGTAACTAAAAGTGCTCCAGTAACCATGATCAAGATCAATACACCAGTTAGCTTCAGATCTAAATAAACAAATAAACAAGAGTCCCGGAAACCAAACCAGAAAAGGAGCAAAAGTCATCAACTCAATTATCTGTCCTAAGGTCAGGCTCACAGGATCTCATCTCTAAGGGGAAGCCACGATTACACAGCACTAATTGAAAGCATCAACTGCAAGGGAATGGATCCACATTCAGCCAAAAACAAACAACAATTCACGTCACGATTGGGACTGAATCCTGATGCAGGGTGAGCATCAGAATTTCCGGTACGAATGGATGAAGAACAAAATGCGAGAAGCAGCGACAACGATAGATAGGGAAAGAAAAGCCAAAGGCCGTCGAAGGGGATTTCGTCATAAGAAGAAAAAAAAAACGAAGCCAGAGAGATTGAGAGAGACCTTCTTTCGTAGGCCAGAAGTTTCGGGCTTCTGGCCATCGATCGGCGAAGACTGTATAGTGGAGACCTTGAATGCTATTGCTTTCTTCTGGTTTTCTCACCTCAGAGAACTTTGGAGACAAGAGTTTGGCTTGCGGAGGTAAAGCGGGAGAAGAGACAAAGAGGGTGAACTTCGGAAGGTAGGAAGGAGTTACGGTTACGTAAAGCGATGGGAAATGAGCGCTTCTGGAGGAAGAGAGAGAGAGACAAGAAGTGGTGATGGCTCTCTTGGGGCTTTAAAACTCGGGTTTCCAGGACAAATAGATCCAGAAAAAAATGGGGAAAAACATAAACAGACCGATAGCTATGAAATCATGTGGCGGGAGGTGTAAAATCAAAGTCTGAGAGGAAGGAAGTAATATCTATCTATCTATCTATCTATCTATCTATCTATCTATACATAATATTATGGCAATTCAAAAGTAATTGTTTGCCACCTAAGCACTTAGAGAGCTTACAAATTGCCAAGGTGGATAATATTTTTACAAAAAGAATAATAGTTATTGATATATTTATGGAGCTATCTCTCTCTTCATTTAATATTTCATTTCCCTTTTATCCTTTTTTGTATTATATCAATGTACACAATAATAAATAATGTATGAAAAGTGACATATATGTAATATATTATCTCTAATTTATTTAATATTTATTTTTCTTTTCCAATACTTCTTTTATGTTTTTGTTTTTACTTTTGCATTGTATAGAAATGGCTAAGTCTGGAAACGTGTTTGTGAAGTCTATTTTTGAGCTCAATTCGAGAAGCATGAATGCGAGTCGAGTCCAGGAGCCTCTACCACGTTAAATTAGGTATGTTTTTATACAAATTCAAGGAATTGGATGAAAGATTGGATATCTTTAAGGATTCAAACAAAATGGTCGAAGTTGCTACGAAGGCTGTTTTTCTGGCAGACTTTGAGCACAAGCAAGCTGCCAGAAAAACAGCCTTCGTAGCAACTTCGAGACTTTTGTTTGAAGCCTTAAAGATATTGAATCTTTCATCCAATGCCTTGCCTTTGTATAAAAAAATACTTAATTTAACGTGGTAGAGGCCCCTGGACTTGACTCGCATTCATGATTCTCAAATTGAGCTCCAAAGTAGGCTTGACAAACACGTTGCCAGACTTAGCCATTTTCAGGCAGTTTCCCAATTTTGGCATAGCCTTTTGGTCAGATTCAAAAAAGGTCTTCTGGACTTTCTATTGAGCTCCCAAGTACTTTAATGTGTAGATGGACACTTCAGCTTCAAAACAAGCCTTTAATCTTCAATTTCCATCTAGCCAATTGTAAGATATGAATCTCCAAAGTAGGCACCATGAAACTGTTTTTACACTGAAACAACTGATTAGGTCGACCTGATCCTATATGAGGTCGACCGAAAAGTGCATGTCACTGTGACATGCATGTCACCGTAGCAAAGTCCTAACTTTTTTCTCAACAAAAAAAAATATTTTAACTCATTTTTACAATAATTTACAAATATCTTACATTTTGACGAACAATTTATACAAACACACATACATAATAACATTTTATCGCGACAAAATAACGATGGAAATTAAAGAGAGAAAACAAGAAATGTTTGAATAGAAACTTGACCAAGAAATAAAATCTATTTCTTAAAAAAAACCTTATTCATTCTAATTAAGTGAAAAACTATGAATCATAGGTGCAATAATTTACAATGTATCCTAAGTTCAAATTACTAATATTATGCATTTTTGCTCTTGATCGTGTTAATTTAGCAAACTCTACTGAAGTTTTACGTAATATGTTAAGAAATTTAATTTTCAGACTTGGAGTAATAAATTTTCAGGGTGTGCCTACGGTGACATGCATGTCACGGTGACTTGCAATTTCCGGTCGACCTCAGCTAGGATTAGGTCGACCTCATTTAGAATTCGGTCGACCTCACATAGGATCCGGTCGACCTCATTTAGGATCCGGTCGACCTCATTTAGGATCGGTCGACCTCATATAGGATCCGGTCGACCTAATCTGTTGTTTCAGTGTAAAAACAGTTCACGGTGCTTACTTTGGATATTCATATCATACAATTGGCTAGATGGAAATTGAAGACTAATGACTTGTCTTGAAGCTGGAGTGTCCCTCTACATATTGAAGTGATTGATAGCTCGATAGGAAGTCCAGAAGACCATTTTTGAACCTCATCAAAAGGCTATGCCAAAACTGGGAAACTGCCTAGAAATGGCAAAGTCTGGAAACGTGTTTGTGAAGTCTATTTTTTAGCTGAATTCGAGAAGCATGAATGCGAGTCTAGTCCAGGAGCCTCTACCACGTTAAATTAGGTATGTTTTTATACAAATTCAAGGAATTGGATGAAAGATTGGATATCTTTAAGGATTCAAACAAAAGGGTCGAAGTTGCTACGAAGGCTGTTTTTCTGGCAGACTTTGAGCACAAGCAAGCTGCCAGAAAAACAGCCTTCGTAGCAACTTCGAGCCTTTTGTTTGAAGCCTTAAAGATATTGAATCTTTCATCCAATGCCTTTCCTTTGTATAAAAAAATACTTAATTTAACGTGGTAGAGGCCCCTGGACTTGACTCGCATCCATGATTCTCAAATTGAGCTCCAAAGTAGGCTTGACAAACACGTTGCCAGACTTAGCCATTTTCAGGCAGTTTCCCAATTTTGGCATAGCCTTTTGGTCAGATTCAAAAAAGGTCTTCTGGACTTTCTATTGAGCTCCCAAGTACTTTAATGTGTAGATGGACACTTCAGCTTCAAAACAAGCCTTTAATCTCCAATTTCCATCTAGCCAATTGTAATATATGAATCTCCAAAGTAGGCACCATGAAACTGTTTTTACACTGAAACAACTGATTAGGTCGACCTGATCCTATATGAGGTCGACCGAAAAGTGCATGTCACCGTGACATGCATGTCACCGTGACATGCATGTCACCGTAGCAAAGTCCAAATTTTCAAGGATTATAAATAAAAAAATTTCAAAATGACCTCGGTATGATTGTTGATGAACTTGACTTCATATCTTAAGATGATACACGAGATACATTATAAAATGATACATGTGAAAGTTAGATGAATCTTTGCTAAACTGTATGTTAAACATCATGTGTTCATCAACCACTGACCTATGAACTTTAACTCATTTTTACAATAATTTACAAATATGTTACATTTTAATGAACAATTTATACAAACACACATACATAATAAAATTTTATCGCGACAAAATACCGATGGAAATTAAAGAGAGAAAACAAGAAACGTTTGAATAGAAACTTGACCAAGCAATAAAATCTATTTCTTAAACAAAAACCTTATTCATTCTAATTAAGTGAAAAAATATGAATCATAGGTGCAATAATTTACAATGTATCATAAGTTCAAATTACTAATATTTTGCATTTTTGCTCTAGATCGTGTTAATTTAGGAAACTCTACTGAAGTTTTACGTCATATGTTAAGAATTTTAATTTTCAAACGTGGAGTAATAAATTTTCAAGGATTATAAATAAAAAATTTTAAAATGACTTCGGTATGATTGTTGATGAACTTGACTTCATATCTTAAGATGAGACACGAGATACATTAAAAAATGATACATGTGAAAGTTAGATGAATCTTTGCTAAACTGTATGTTAAACATCATGTGTTCATCAACCACTGACCTATGAAGCACGATTAGAGAAGTTAATCATCGTAAGAGGTATGATCTTTCTTAGCAAACACATGCACATTTTTTTTTGCAATAAAACACATGCATAAATAATTATATATTTATGAAATAAAATAATTCGATAGAAATTCAATGGAGCAAGAATAGATCACATTATTGGATAAATAAAGATGATAAGTAAGAATAACTTTTCTCTCACTTATAATATGTCCTTCCATCCCTTATTTTCTTTTACAATTGTCCATATTTCCCTTATTTTCTTAACATTTTATAAATCCCGATTAAAAACAAGCATTAATTACACTTAAAAATAATTAAACTCTTTTTAATATATATGGTTATATATTGACCATAAATGTGGCAATACAAAAAATGCATATATTAGTATAAGTAATGAAATTTTTATTTCTAAACAAATACCAAACATAAATAAATTTTAGAAAACGAAGGTTCTACAAGTTGTAAAATTATACACTAACGCACCATATTAAGATCAAAATCCGTATGTGGGTATCTTGGATTGAGATTCTAAAACAATATATAAACAACGACAATGAGTCTCAGTTAGTCCAAATTAAATTTCAGAAATTAGCAATTGATACATATTGTATAAGAGACTAAATACACATAAGATCTTACAGTAAACTTCATGAACATTCAAAGTGTCAACTTTAAATTGGGATGAAGAAATTTATCCAATAATGAAGTATATATACAAAGAAACTCTCCGTAAGATGTCCTCATCTGAACAACATGGATTCATATAAGATAGAAAAAATTGTACATGGACGTGGTATACCTTTGTGACATGGTTTATGATTAGAGAATTCAAACAGTATAAGTGAATGTGCTAAGTATTGAGAATTTTCAATATATAGACACACCACATACATACTCACTTATCAATACAAAATATAATAAATTTAGAAGGTCTAAAATAGTTTAAACATATAGATAAATTGAATTAATGTCAACGATAAAATGAAACTCTCCGGCCAACGGGCCGGGTAAAAAGCTAGTTTGTTTTATGCGGGGTGGGCATTAGGTTCCATTAAATCTGAATTGAACCAAATTGAAACCGAACAAAAACTGAAATAGTAGTTCGGTTTGAAATTCGGAAAAAACTCGGCTTTTCGGGACGAATAGATCCAGAAAAAAATGGGTAAAAACATAAACAGACCGATAGCTCTGACATCACGTGGCGTGAGGTGTAAAATCAAAGTCCGAGAGGAAGGAAGTAATATTTGTTTTATGTGGGGTGGGCATTGGGTTCCATTAAATCCGAATCGAACCAACTCAAAACCGAACAAAAACTGAAATAGTAGTTCGGTTCGAAATTCTGGAAAGAAATGTGATTATTTCGGAAACCAAAAATTTTTCAACCGAATCGAATTTCCGAATTCCGAACCGAAAACCAAAATTTGCCCATAACAGCCCAATCCTAAACCACTCTCTTACACACATCCCACTGAAACCCTAGCCCAGCCCATAGAAAACCTAGGCCCACGCCACAATACCCAAACCCCCATCTCGTCCCACCTCTCACAGCGCCCACTCTTCTCACCCACAATCCTAGCCCAGCCCACTGAAATCCTAGACAAAATCCATCTCGTCCCACCTCAGATCTCACACAGCGGCCGCCACGACGGAAGAGGAGAGGAGCAAAGAGTAGGGAGTAGAGACAGAGAGGGAAGTTCGAGATCGAGGGAGAGAGAGGAGAGGCCAGCGCCGGAGAGAGGGATTGGTGGTCGTCTTCTACAGATTCTTCCGAGAGAGCGAGAGACAGAGAGGAAGCAGAGGAAGGAGATAGTGGCGGCGGCAGGAGACATGCAGAACGAGCAGAGATTGGTCGGAGTCAGAGAGATCTTAAGGCGTTAGATTTGAAGCGAAGGGAAGGTAGAAGCTGAGGGCGAGTAGGTGAAACAGAAGAAGATGATGCTTTTAGGGTGGCGGTTTCCAATGACTAATTGACTCATTCCGAATACCACAATAAAAATCTCAATCAATGCCCAAGTATAAACCTTAATTGGGTGCAATATAGGGCAAGTATGCTTTAAAAGTCAAACTCTGGCCGGCCATGTACCCCTACTTTGATTGTTTGAAACATTATTTAGCAATTGGTTTTTGGTTGAAACTACGATTCACCTGATCGCATTCCCCGCAAGAGAGTAGGGGAATAGCCTCAACTTCAAATCATCTTCGGGCACCTCATTTATCTTCAAACTTCCGGCAATCTCGATAAACTCTGAACATGCTCCCTCGGAGACTCATCTCTAAGCCCATGGAATTGCACATTGTTTTGGATCATTGTGACGAGGTTGGCTTGATCTCGAAATTGTTGGCGGCCACGGGCGGATGCAAAATGGTAGGTTGAATATCAGCCGCCCGTGGAGCCATATAGTAGCTCATGGTCCACGGTTGCTCCGCAGCTCCCGCTTGAGCTTCTTGATTAGTCGCCATCTCGGCTTCACTTCGTTTCTCTTCGGATTCAAACTCTTCCTCAACCACAACTCCTTCAATTCCAGGACCAACTTGTGGTTGTCCCCTCTCCTCTATCCTTCTTCTTGCTTCTGCCAGCTCCCTCTCACGAGCCAAGAGTCGGAGAGTGCGGTTGGTATTCTCGTCTAGTGGCGCTAAAGCTGTCGGATTACTCTGGGTCATACACCCTCCTGCACACACTTCAAAGAAACACAACTCGTCTAACACAACCAAGATTCACAAACACAAAACACAAAGTAAAACCTAGATTACCACAAAACAATCTTTTCAAAATAATGGACCGGAAGTTCCCCGACAACGGTGCCAAAAACTTGACTCGTCCCGAATACCACAATAAAAATCTAAATCAAGGCGCAAGTATAAACCTTAATTGGGTGCAATATAGGGCAAGTATGTTTTGAAAGTCAAACCTTGGGTGGTCGTGTACCCCTACTTCGATTGTTTGAAACATTATCTAGCAATTAGTTTTTGGTTGAAACTACAATTCAAAACTAGTCGAGGAGGTCGTGAACTCAGAGCTTCCACCATGATCAGTCGTTGTCCTCTCCTTTGGCCCATTTTCCCTCCTTTTCATCCAACTTTCGTTCCCTAGGTTGATTTACCTACTAGGATCTGAAACATAGCAAAACAAAGCACAACCTAGCGTAAAACCAAATCCCATTGGGTGAAATCGCCTTAAACATCTAAGAAAAAAGGGGGTAAAATGTGTGCATTTTGACCCAAATCTCTGATGTTGATACCGGAGAGGGGAGAACAAATAGTTTAAGGTAGTCAGCGGCATGTGATAGAGGGGAAACATAAGAGAGAGAGGGAGAGCGAAAAACTAAGGATTGGGAAGAGAGAAAGGGGGATAAATAAATGGTTCGAGTTTTGAGGCTTTTGACGCAGAACATAAGGAGGGGAGGGTGCAAATTTGATTTGGCTCTGAAAACCGATTCCGAACATAATATATTTTAGTTCGACCAAACTGAACCGAAATAAATTTTGGTTCGAATCGGTTTGAGAATTATTGCAATTGGTTTTTGATTGAAACTAGAATTCAAAACTAGTTTAGGAGGTCGTGAACTCACAGCTTCCACCATGATCAGCCGTTGTCCTCTCCTCTGGCCCATTTTCCCTTCTTTTCATCCAACTTTCGTTCCCTGGGTTGATTTACCTGCTAGGATCTGAAACATAGCAAAACAAAGCACAAGCTAGCGTAAAACCAAACCCCATTGGGTGAAATCGCCTCAAACATCTAAGAAAAAAGGAGGGTAAAATGTGTGCATTTTGACTCGAATCTCTGATGTTGATACCGGAGAAGGGAGAACGAATAGTTGAAGGTAGTCAGCGGTATGCGATAGAGGGGAAACATAAGAGAGATAAGGAGAGCGAAAAACTAAGGATTGGGAAGATAGAGAGGGGGATAAATAAATGGTTCGAGTTTTGAGGCTTTTGATGCACAACATAAGGAGGGGAGGGTGCAAATTTGGTTTGGGTCTGAAAACCGATTCCGAACATAATATTTTTCAGTTCGGCCAAACTGAACCGAAATAAATTTTGGTTCGAATCGGTTTGAGAATTATTGCAAATCAAGGACTCGTTATGCTCCATTTTGGTTCGGTTTTGACCAAACCAAACTGATGCGACGCGAGGATAATTTGTTTTCAATCCAACTCCTCCTATCTTTATAGTTTATACCAATCTTTGTTGAATTTCACATCCCTCTATAATATATAGAGGTACTTTGGGAGATTTTGAGCATTTCAAATTCCTTGCACTCTCATTAATTGTAGCTAGGGGTAAATTTGTAAGTTCAACTTAGAACTTAAATATTTTCTTACGAGAAAAAAAATGTCATTCCAAAGACTTTAACTCGAGTCCTTCATATTGATAGTCAATATCCCTAACCAACTGGACTCCAACAATGTTTATGTATTTTTTGAATTAAAGAGAGAAAATATTGAAATATCTCAAAATCATATGACTATCCACCGCAACAATCAATCATCGAATTAATTAATAACTGTAATTATTTACAATGTGAATCATCATGATATACCTAGCTTATGAATAAACTAAGTGAGTTCCTCTAATCACGCAATTCTTCACCAAGAATCAAATAGTACATTTTGTGTTTATGTATGCCATACAACTTTTACATTTATTAGGTTACATGAATTTGTAGTTTTTTTATAATGTACATAACTTTGTAGTTTGTAGGAATACAAAGATTATATACAAAAGTGCTTTACAAAATTTTATTTCAAAACATAAAAGTTGACATTTGTGATGTATGGTTTTGTAACGAGACATTTTCAATGCTATAAGTGAATGACCAAAAATCATTGGGTAACAATTTCCCTAATGGTTGACAATTATAAGCATAGAATTGAAAGACTAAATACTATTGACAAATGAGCCAATTATCATTGGCTAAATTTAACAAACAATGGTATGTGTATATACATTGGAAATTCTATGGTAAGCTCGATGGATTGAGGGTATTGTATCTCCTTAGTTAAATAACATTATCTAGATCATAGATTAATCACGTAACTAAACCCTATATCATAATTCTCTAAATCCTAATATAGTGCATATGGTATGTTGTATACATCTTGGAGAATCAGAATCATTGATTATGTTCTTAGTATATGTGATATTAGGGTTTAAGTTCTATTGATTATGTTCTTAAAATATGAAATCAAAAAACTTTTCAACAGTTAGCTAAACCAATAAATATTTTATAAGTACTTATTTGGTGTTTTGATACTTCGATTTTGATATTTTCTATTTTAATTATAATTTAGTACTTAATTTAAAATTTTATCAATCTTATAAATAGACGATAACCATAAATTTGCAACCAAAATATTGTTGGTTCGAATATTTCATATCGAATTATAGTCTTGAATATGCAGAAGCGATATAGAATTCTTAAATTAAATTAATTTCCAGAACTATAGTGAAGCAATCATATCTTTGTGCAAACTATAGGGGATTGGTTCTTTGAACATTTTTGTCCGGTTAAATACTAAGTTTTGAAACTCTTCCTAGGGGTGTATGTGGGTCGGTTCGTTTGGGTTTAGATATATTAATCACCTAACTCATATACTACGATTTTGAAAACACTAAATACAAACTCACCCAAATAATTTAGAATTTTAACTATTTGTGTCCTCCATACCAAATGAACCAATTTACATGTCGCTTAACGAAGGACGATCTCATTGTCCAATCCCATCATTCTAATGTCAATCCATAAAAGTAACCCATATTCGCATTTGTCAACACATGTTTCACATTGTCATTACTGTGACCAGTAACTTCGCAGCAACTGATTCAGTATTGCTCATCATATAGCCTCCAAACTGATAAACATATTGGGCCAGCAGTTTTATGAAAAAACTCAAAGTGAAGACAACTCATCGTCTGGTGGAATTTTGGCGCTTGTTGGTGTCCATTAATCTAATTGCAAGCATAATGATTGCTAAAATTAAGCTTTCACGCAACACATTAGGAGTTGGGGTGTGAACTTGGAGTAAAAGTTGATATTGGGTTTGGGAAGGGAAGTGGTGAGAGGAAGAAATTGTGTTTGGATTTGGTAGCATGTAAAGTTCATGGTTCGGTTTCTTTTTGTAAAATGCTTTGATTTATTTTAGTTAGAGGTATAATATCATGGTTATGTGGGATCAAATGAACCAAAAATGAGCATGGGGGATTGGAATTCCAGCTTAGAAGGAGTGGATTAGATTTTGATAAACTCAGGTTCATGATTAACTGAAAGAATATTTAGATTTAGACTTTGTGGTATTGAGATGTTCATAGAGAGTTTAAAACTGATCCAAGGCCATGGATTGATATTGGTTAGTTGAATGTGATTTTGAGGAAGGTGTATAAAAAGTTATGGAAATTAGTTTGCAGCAAGTGAAGGCAATGAAGAGGCAGTTGGTCAGGGTAGTGATTGAACCAAGGAGGGTATTGAAAGACATAGAAGCAAAATCGGAGCAATTGAAGAGAGAGAAGTGGTAGATGATCAGGATATTAATGAAAATGGAGAGGGTATTGAAGGGCATGGAAGTGAATTGGATCATGTGAAGGCAGAGAAGGAGGAGAAGAGCATATTGATGGAATTGAAGATGAGTGTTGGTTATACGAGCTTATTAAAACTGCCCTGAGGAAGATGAGTTGGCCAAATACAAGAAAGAGGATTGAGGAGTTGGAGATCAAGCTGGCAAGAAACTCAATTGAAAGAGAGATTCGGGTTCATGGAGAGAAGGTCCATCAAAGTAGCATAAATGGAGTTGAAGAATGAGGATTAGAAATTGAATTTTGGTTTAAAACATATACGTCGAGAGATTGAAGATGGAGGGGATAAAAAAGTTGGTTGTATAACGGAGAGTGGAAACTATTGGATCTATAGGTCTTATGGTTGTTTCAACTACCACAACCTATGTTTATGTTAAAACAAGGAATCATTGATTTATTTTCTAAAGTTAAGGTCGATTTACTATTCAAACTATTGGAACCTGTAGATAAGGAGTGTCTAATTTTGTGCCTCATTACTTTGATCGAATCTATTAATATATTGAATGTAAATCTAATTTTATGATTTGCTCTCAAGTTTTGATGGTCTTCTTTTGGTTGAGTTGTTAGCATATGATTTACTTGAATCAACAACTTTTCATTTTTGTTTTTTTTTATAAATCCATTTCTTTTTTATTGGTGGCATGTTATTCATAGAGGAGAGCTTTGAATCATTTATGTGGGATTGTGAGGTTTCATTTCAGTTTCAAACTATCTATGAATCGTGTAGGAATTCCAATGAACTTTTATATTATATATTTCTGGACAATCTATTAACCAATATCAGTTTAATGGGGGCTCAATTATCATTATGAAAATGGGATTAATGATACATTTTTATATTCTTAAATGAGGAGGGTATTTCCCTGAATGTTCGACCTATATATTCATTCTTTATGTAGCATCTCGATTGAATGATTGTCAATAAACTTAAACGAATTAATAGACTTAAACATAACATAAAAATATAAATATTAAAATATGAACATTCCGGCCAACGGGCCGGGTTATAAGCTAGTAAGGGTTAGTAGCATTTTGTGCTCTCTATTATTGCAAATTAACAAAGATATCCTTGTACTTATTTTTACTTATTTTGCACAAACATACCCTTTTAATATTAAAAGGTAACAAAAATACCTTCACATAAAAAAATTTACTCGCCATTAAATTGAGCGGCTAATGACCCAATTACGCCCACGTGTATTGTGAATGTTTACTTTCCTCCTCCTTCCACCATCGAGAAAAAACCCACCCCACCCCTCCTTATTCCTTCTTCTCATGAA